TTTCCCCTAACCCCCCCCCCACCTCCAGCACATCTGTCTCCAAAGCTGGTCCGCTCCTCTGCTTCCTTCCCACCTATGTGAGCGTCTGCCTCGGATCCTTTGTTCTCAACCCTTCCATTCTTTAGCTTGATTTCTTTGCCAGCCGTTGTACCAGACACAACCTGCTTTCAACCCACTCCCTTCTCCATTCCAGTTTCTTTAGCCACCTGATTTGGTGTAGTGGTTAAGTGCGCAGATTCTAATCTGGGAGAACCGGGTTTGATTCCCCGCTCCTCCACTCGCAGCTGCTGGATGACCTTGGGAAAGCCGTAATTCTGATAAGAGCTGTCCTTGAAAGAGCAGTTTCTGTCAGAGCTCTCTCAGCCCCACCTGCCTCTTAGGGTGTCTGTTATTGGGTGGGGAAGGGGAAGGAGTTTGTAAGACGCTCTGAGACTCCTTTGGGTAGTGAAGGGCGGGGTATAAATCCGATCTCTTCCTCTTCTTCTTTTTCGCCTCTCCTCCAAGAGCGCACAAACTCTTCTGTCCTTTGGGCCTGTATTTTTCCACAGCCCCTCTTCTCACTACCCCCTTTCCCCACACACCCGTTTCCTCTGTCTAGCCTTCCCTCAGACTTCCCGTCTTATAAACTTCCTTGCACCCTGGGATTCTTTTCCCCTTGTTCAGAGTCGCTTCTGTGAGGCATTTTCCCAACCAAGTCAACCTTTCGCTTTACTCTCAAAAACTGGCTTATTTGGGCCGATTTCGCAGGTCACAGCTTCGTTCCCTCGGCAATCAGAATGTGCACGCACACTCCACGACCCTACAGCGCCTCAGCTAATCATGGCCAGAGACTTCACGTGTGCGCAAACACACACAAACATCCCCTGCGCTACCTGAAAATCCCTTTAACACCTCACAGTGCAGGTTTTTCCATAAAGCACATCTCACTGGTATCCAGGGGTCATTTCCTGCAGGAGCGCACAGGAGCGGAGCTCCGGCAGTAAAGAGCCCAGGGGGCGGGCACATGCAACAAGCCCCACCCCCTGCTCCCAGCAGCCCTCAGTCAGAGCAAGAAGCAGCCAGGTAAGTTGCAGAGCCCCCTCCCGGCCCCCCGGTCCAAAACAGTCCAGTGGCACCTTTAAGACCAGGTTTTATTCAGATACAAGCTCTCCCTCCTCTGCGAGGACAGATCTGCACGTTCCCCCCTCCCCAATAGCTAGCAATCCAAAACAGTCCAGTGGAGCCTGAGCGGTGGGTGTTGCCTTCTGACACATTTCTGGTGATGTCAGGGGTATGTGGCATATGCAAATGAGTTATGCTAATGAGCTCCTGCATCTCTTTTTCTACGAAATGACCCCTGCTGGTATCCATAAACCTTTTGTGCCCCCAAACGTAAAAGGAGCTCACTCCTGTTACAGACAGGCAAGCCCTTTCTGTCTTTCATTTCTCACACGGCAAATAACAAAAACGGAAGCAAAAATGTGTGTCTCTATATTGACTCAAAGTGTTTTCCAGGGGATAGGAGGACACTCCTGAAAAACTGCAAACACTGTGGTATCAAATAACATGCCAATCTTGAACATGCCAAGAAATTATGCATTGGTTGAGCCGGTTTTGGTCTTTCCCCTAGAGTGACAGCATGGAATTCATACGCCTGGTGAACAGCAAAAAGACAACTTTGGACACCCCTCAGCAATCAGGAATTACACACCGCCTACATCCACAACAGTTCCAGTTCCTTTCCTGCAGGAGCCTGTAATATCGTATCCAAAGCAGAGTAAAAATTTCCTGAAATGTCAAGGACAGGACTATGGGGGGGGGGGCGCCCCTGGTTATATTTTCCCAGACTCACATCCGCTTCCCTCCTTCAAGAATTGTGCTTTCCAGGAACCGAAATGGGATCTGCTCTTTACACTCAGCGAGGTCCTGACAATTACGGATCATTTACAAGCTCGAAGGTGAAACCTTCCACTTTAGAATCAAGACTTCAAAATTTTAAATTCTAACATTTCTCTAACTTCTGATGATAAAGGAAATCATGTCCCATGATTGCCGGAGCAGCCTCAGTAGATATCCAGGGTTTGTATACTAAATGCTGGCAGAATTTTGCTTTGTGAAGGCTTTTTACCGCTTCCATCACTTGTGTACGTGCAATTTCTGGGCTCTTCTGAGATGCTGAAGACCTTTTAAAAGCAATCCTGTGAAACGTCCAAGCAACAACAAAGATTAGTAAGTCAATATACTAAATGCATGCATAGATACTCACCCGTCCCCCTGGCTTAGGTATAGGAATGTTCCCCCTCCCCACTGAAGGATATATTTCTGGAAGTTCTTGAGTATACTCACATATGCTTTTGGAAGCTTTCTGCATGTGTGGTGGAAGTGAATTTAATTTAATTCAAAGTTACAGAAATGATTTGTAACAAACATTTCCCAGGTCGTCTGCAGAGAAGGAGCTGTGGTGGCTCAAGTGGTTAAGACGCTGAACTGCAGGCTGTGGAAGGTTAGTAGTTCAGCAGTTCGAGACCCGAGTGTGCTGCATGGCGGAGTGAGCTCCTGTCTCTCGTTCCAGCTCCTGCCAACCTAGCAGTTCGAAAGCAAGAAATTGCAAGTAGATAAATAGGGACCACTTCAGTGGGAAAGTAACAGTGTTCCGTGCGCCTTGGGTGTTTAGTCATGCCAGCCACATGACCACGGAAACGTCTTCGGACAGCGCTGGCTCTTCGGCTTCGGAAACGAAGATGAGCACCGCAACCCTAGAGTCGGATTTGACTGGCTTTCGAGCAAGGGAACCTTAACCTTTTACCTGCAGAGAAAAGGAATCTCTCTTGCAAGGAGGCAGGATACTTTTAGAAAAACTACCTTTTCCCTTAGCTGTGTCGGTCTGCAGAAGAACAGCCACATTCAAGTCCGGGAGCAACAGAGAGACCAACAAGATCTTAATGGGCATCAGCTTTTGAGAGGCAGAGCTCCCTTCCTCAGCTGAAACCGCGTTGATTCTTGAGTGCTTCTACGCCTAAAATCTTGTTGCTCTCTATGGTGCTACCGGACTCGCATCTAGCCGTCTTTTCACCCTCATATGCCACAAACACCCAACACATAATGACTCTGATCCAGTCAAATTGAAGCACAATAGCCCCGACCTGGATAGCTGAGGCAAGGCCAGTCTCGTCAGATCTCAGATGCTAAGCGGAGTTAACTCTGGGGAGTACTTGGATGGGAGACCTCCTTGGAATACCAGAGGCGGGGAGTGGGGGCAGGCCTTATTCAGCCACCGCTCTGAATATCCTCCAGGCCCCCAGTAGGGGCCAGTCACCAGAGGTTGCCGTGACTTGCATGCACATATAAAAATTACAAAAAAATAATAATGACGCACACTGACGTCCCAGAGATTACAATAGAAAGTTGATTATGGGCTTCAGTGCTTCCCCCACTGCCATTATCAGGATTTAAAAGTCCCTGGCTGGATTGTGCCCTATCTGCAGGCGGCCGGTCTATTCAACCATACCGCAGGTGAGTAACTCTTGTGGATTTATAGGCAAGGCTGTGTAGAATAGGGAGCTGCTTGTCCTACTGGAACGTCACTGTAATATAACCAGCATAAGGGTAAGATTTCCCTTGCTCGAAAGCCAGTCGAATCCAACTCTAGGGGTGCAGTGCTCATCTCCGTTTCCAAGCCGAAGAGCCAGCGCTGTCCGAAGACATTTCCGTGGTCATGTGGCCGGCATGACTAGATGCCAAGGCGCACGGAATGCTGTTACCTTCCCACCGAAGTGGTTTCTTGCTTTCGAACGGCTAGGTTGGCAGGAGCTGGGACCAGAGACGGGAGCTCACTCCGTCCTGCGGCACTCGGGTCTCAAACTGCTGAACTACCGACCTTCCAGCCTGCAGTTCAGTGTCTTAACCACTGAGCCTCCGCAGCCATAACCAGCATACAAAATACAGATTTAGAAAGGTCTGCCTGCTGGTTTTGTGTCCCCGACTTCCCAGCTCTTTACGGTGGCACGTCAGAGCCGGTTTAGGCCCTAACTGATTGGACTGGGGAGGTTCAGGTCCATTTCGCAGGGCGGCATGTTTACAATCCACGTAACATTCACAAACCTTTCGTGGTAATCTCAGCCGCATCATGACTTCCAGGAACACAGCTGGCCCGGTCTCCAATATGTTTAGTACGCCGGGCCAGCAGCACGAAGAGTAAAAGAGGTGAGAACATAACAGCAGGC